TTCCTCTGCCACATCTGCTATGGTCTCTTGATGAGCACTGTGGGCTTTCATGTGGGAGATCAGGGTTCAAATCCAGCTACTACAACTTTAACAAAAATCTCTTCAAACTTCATATTGTCACACAATTACCTTAATTACAAACACCTGCTGACGTGACAGGCACAAGCTGGTATAGAAAACACTTTTGAACTTGGTCAAAGCTCATTCTGCAAGTCCAATGCTCCTGCATACATTGTCCTACAGCTGCCATTGTAATTTCTATCTGTAAAGGTCCTGTGCCAAATGATTGCTATGCCTTTTGGTACCTGTACAACTTGTAGTTTTTGAAATATTAATGTTTAAACTTTATTCCAAATTCATATAATGGGAGTCAATCGGGCCTTGTAATGGTCCAATACTGTCCCATGCTGTACTCAACTTGGTACTGCTCCATACTTTAATAATATTTAATCTCAATTGTTCAGTGTTTACAATACTAATATGATTGTATTTTGATGTTTTACTATAATATTGTCTTAATACTGCTCCATTGTTGTAATATGCAATTTAGTGTCAATAATTGTATTCGCAATGTGGCGTCTTTCTGCACACATACAAACCAACCCCTGCCACCACTTTCTGCCACAGCTCCATTAGTCTAATGGTCTATGTCATGGACTTTCATGTGGGATATTGGGGTTCAAAACCCAGCTAATGCAATTTTAACAAAAAATCTCCCCCAACTTCATATTGTCACACAATTACCTTAATTACAAACACCGCTGACGTGACAGGCACAAGCTGGTATAGAAAACACATTTGAATTTGGTCAAAGTTCCTTCTGCAAGTCCAATGCTGTTGCAATGACATGCTACATGGCAATGCACACTTGTTTTTACATCATAAAATCCCATGTCTAGTTAGGATGGATTTTTCCCATTAGCTGTTCTGCTGCCGCTTGTTATTTCAGAAATGTTAAATTCTCCACAAGTGATTGGTTGAATATGACTGCAACCAGACTAACTACGGACAACTGCGCATTTGTTGTTGATTTGTACTGAAGCAAAACCCAGTCCTGCAAAGACGCACCTTGACAGCTCTGTGAAACAGGCAATGGGAGCTGCAGGCAGACAATGGCTCTGACAAGTGATAGGATGTTGTCCGCCTCTCGGGCAGCGGCTCATTAGTGAGAACAAAAAATAACTACTACTCAGAAGGCTCTACAGATGGAGCTGAGGGTTGCTGAGACCCTTTGGAAGTACAGCGCTCCGGCAGGCAGGAGAAACAGAGGGCGAGACAAAGCAYAGATCAGTGACCTACAGATCAATGAACAGTAGGTTTGATTTTAGTGCTGTGCTATCACCTCTGCTCCTGATGAGTAGGTGATAGCTGGGAGGAAACCTGCTGGAAGAAATGACAGCGTGAGAGGCAGCCTGTGTAAGAAAACTAGCAGAGCAAAGGGAGGCCAGCGTGGTGTTATAAAGAAATGAGAGTAAGAGAAAACATGAAGATGAAAGGCTCTGTGTGACAATTTACAGCTCTGATTGGTGTCTGAGTGTGGTRGCTTTTGCTCTGCTATGTGAGTAATTTTCTGTATGGCATTGTCCAACATGGAGTACCATATGGTGACAGGTAGGGTGAACAAGGTTATATCCACTAGAAACCATGAGAATATTAATTGTCCTTGCTGAAAATATGTTCTACATATTGGGTACAGTATATAGAAACATGTTGTAGTACTAGAGCTTTATACATACAGTATGTATAAATGTTATTTTTAAAGGACAAAGGTCATACTGTGTGAACACATGATATAGACAAATATTTTAAATACTTTTGAAATGTTAAACTCAGCCCCATGTGGTGGAGTTTAAGTATGTGAGTGTCTTGTTCAGGAGTGATGGAGTGAGAGACGGGTCCAAGGATTGGTCCTCGACCTCAGTAATGAGGGTGTTACTTTGGTCAGTTGTGGTGAAGAAAGAACTAAGTCGAAAAGCAAAGCTCTCCAGCCTTCACATATGGTCATGAGACGTGTATTATGACCTAAAGAACAAGATCCCATGACAAGCTGGAAAGTAGTGCTGGGGAGAAGGATCTTTGGGTTACTCTTCTGGACCTATTACTTCTGCAACCCRACTACGTGTAAGGGCTGGAGACGGAGAAAAAAAATTCTTAAAGAGGGGATATTGTGCAAAATAGTCTTTTYTGAACTTCCCTCATCAAACACATACCTAGAGTGTAGCTTTGACTCATTCATGTATGTCCTTAAACCTCTTGTAGTAAATGCTGATACAAAGCTCCTCCCTGGAGCTCAGTCAGCTGAGCTCCCACCCCTCCCTTGCACCTCCCACAAACAGCTGCACCAGAACTGCATGTCTGTTGAACTTGTAACATTTGTAATACTACTACTTCTCAGTCCAGTCCTTTTTGGATTAAAAAATGCCTTCGTCAATTAAATGTATTTTTGGATGCCAAAGAGACTACCTTCTTAATGCTAAAAGGTTGTAAACGGCTAGAAGTATTGTTGTGAAGACGTGCTGTAACAGGAGTGTCAGAAATGGTAGGAGGTTCTGAAAGAGACAGAAGCCAATTTCAAGGCGTTTACATAGGTGCAAAGTCAAAGTATTGATACATGCAGCACTTTCATAACAATTTAAGGTAACACTAGTGCCACTTAGTGTAGTGTCGGTACGGTCAGTGTCGGAACGGGAGGCTGCTCAAACATGTTCTCCCTGGAGATGTAAATGAATGCAGTCTGATTGGATAACTACATTTTAGTTTATTAAAAACAAATGTACCTCAATTCAAAGTAAATATACGATAAATTGGCAAAAACAAGAAGAAMTACATTTTTTGTTACAGTTAAAGCAAACACATTGGTAATGTGTCATTTCGTGTATGTTTAACTCTAGTATTTTCTTGGAAGGCCCTGAGTGTTCCCCTCTGAAATATATCTGCTTTGTTGAAAAGGCAGATTTTATAAATTTTATTATTTCCCCACACACCTACATTACATTATGTTTTACCAAAASCTTGCAGTGTTTCATTTGTCTGATCACTGGAGGAATGGTTCCTTTCAAATCTCTATCTTCTTCTGTCTTCCTTTTTTTCCCTATTTTTATTTTTCACCAACCGGTCAKGTCACAGAGTAGATGGTAAAATCAGGGATTAGAGATGGCAAGCTCAGTGAAAACAAACACAATGTAGCTGTTTAGTACCCCTGGGAAGTTCCCTGTGTCACTACAAACTCCTTAAAAGCTGCTYAATTTGTCAGCAAGTATCTATGGGTTTTACTAATGTAAGGCATTAACTCCTAGGAAGGCAGCGCTTGTTAAACACTCAGCAGCATTGTTTGTCAAATGGTTTATGTGCTTTGGATCAGGCAGAAAATGCTGTTTCAAAGAAAAGAACTGCACATAAAAATATACTGACAGTTCCATATTTGGGAATCRCTAAAAATAAAATTAATATAAAGTATGCTGTTTAACAGATGRAGCAGGGATTTTTCTTTCACCTGTAAAACAGACTGCATAGTTTGTCAAATTTGCCTTAAGTTATAAAATTGATGAGCAATGTGCTATAAAGCCCTCTTCATAGAAATGCTGTAGTTGTTGTTCGCCTACGTCCTTAAAAAGCTTTGTCTCTTTGAAACCACTAAAGTGCTCAAACATATTTTAATTTCTGATAATTTGTAGGGTTTATATGTAGGGTTTCTTCTCATCCTAAGAATTTCATAGCATTTTTGACTCTTGTTAACCTGCATATTACAATAAATGAAACCTATTCTATCCTATCCTATCCTATCCTATCCTATCCTATCCTATCCTATCCTATTTGTATGAATCATAAAAAGGTTGCATCATTCATGAAAACATTTAGATGCTATGGTTTGGTGCTAAGAGAAAACAAAAAAGTGAGTCAGAAAGTATTCATAAGCTAAGGATTTGAATATGAGTCAGACTTCATTTTATACTCTAGWCGTCGCCTCTATATTATGGATGCTTTTGAGGAAACGGATCTTCAAATAGCTCTGTGATTATAGGAAACTGTCTGAATCAGTTTAGTGTGCTGCTGGATTGTCTCATTTAATTAGACCCCTGAAGATTTTTTTTTCACAGACAAAAATGGTTAAGGGTTTTAGAATGAGAAAAGTGAAAACTGGATGTCAAAGTGTCAATAAGTAATGATACAGTCAGTTATCAGTTCTACACAAAAAGAATGAACACCAGTGGTGTATCAAGCTGCCTCCCCCTGGGTCAAACACTGGGGTGTCTACACAGTCACACCAGGTCAACTGCCAAACACAACCTCAACACACAGCAGCAATAATCTACTCCCTAACCCGAACCAAAGCAAAGTGCACCGCCAAGGCTCAGGGAGATGCACTAATTTGCATTTAAGGCATATCTTTTGTCRGTTTGCATTACAGCCCATATCCTTTCTCATGTATTTTGACATTCCCACACATTTACATTCCTTCATTAGAGAGACACTCAGCTCAATTACTTGTGGCTTAACCTCACATGACATTTTGTCCTTACATTATTTCAGAAGAAGGAAACTGGAAGGTACCGGTGTCTTTTGTCATCGTATTCTTGGTGTTGGCTTTCTGATGTTTTAATAAGAAAGAGAAGGAGAAAAAGAGCCAAAGAGRATGACAAGTCAAGGTCTATGAGCGAAAAAAAAAGTTGAAGAGAATGGGAGCAAAAGAAAAAAAATATTTGAATTTAGTTCTGTTGATATAAGTTGAGGTGTCTGATCAGGTTAACGACCTCTATTAATCAGTTCTGTGAAACATGTTGATTTATTTTCCACACCACTAAAATTGGCTTTTGGCTGCGAGACACAATCARCGCTTTCTTGGATTCCATCAATTTGCTGTTTCTATACCAAACCTCTACTGGTCACGTTCTTAATAAAAAAAATGCATCTCACCATTCCTATTTGGACTCTTTAATAATGAGAAACTAGGCTGCGCTGTTTCTTTCACCCAACCTGACAGTTTGTTTTTGTACCTGCAGGTGCTACGTTGATGACAAAGTTTCCAAGGTGGCCTGGCTCAATCGATCCAACATCATCTTTGCCGGCCAGGACAAGTGGTCCCTGGACCCCAGAGTAGACCTGGTCACTAAAGGACAGCTGGAGTACAGCTTACGCATACAAAAGGTACTGATGACCTTCATGGGAAGAACTCACAATGGACAGTTGTTCTCTTAATTATGATTCATCGTTACAAAACTTTACTTTTTCTGTGTTTAACAATGATTTTCTTGSATTGGAATGGATTGTTGTGGAGGATTATCCCAAATGCAGACTTTGCGTGAAACCCATTGCACAACACCACATGGACCACCATGAACTACTGGGCAGATTTCTCTGACATTCTCACAAAGTAATCAATAACTTTATGGCATCAACGTTTTACCSATTGGAGGTAAACCAATTTAAGGCGGCCACCACAGCTAATCAACTTTAACATACTTCATATAAGTTTACACATATTGTTTCTCCAGTGCAGTTGTGGCTGACAGTCATTCACGCCACTTCCTCCAAGAGCATGTTAGATATAGCACTATTGCATGAGATTACACATAATGTTAGCTTTCTTTTGGCCAAAATGACAATAACTCCCTTGTTTTTCAATATAAAATGGTTTTAGTCTAAAATTCTAAAATTCTGGCATGAAAAGCAGAAGACAACATTCATTCCTTTATATAACGCTAACCCGTTTTGTAGCAGGTTTAAACAGGGGCACTATGACTTTTTGTTTATCAGTGTCCCCAAGGGTTGTAAATTTGCAATTTCAGATTAAAATTTTACCATTTATTTGTTTAAAGTCTGATTGATGTACAAGGTTTATTTTTTTTAGAATACAGTACATTTATCAGCTATATAAAAGAGAAAGATTAGAAATATAAATAAAGTCTGTATGTCCAGTAGTGACTCACAGACAGTCGTGATGTTTTCAGGGGTTCTTAACCTTTTTGACCACGGGGCCCAGTTTGTTGAACATAAAGTGGCACGAGGCCCAGACAGACATTACCAATGTATGGATCAAAATGATAATTATTCTAATCTAAATCTTAGTTTATGTTTTGTTGTATTTACATTATAACTAAACTATCATAACTAACATAACTAAATTAATTATGCTTACAATTTAAAAGTAAAAATCCTGTCAAATAATCATAAGACATGATTATGACAAACATTTTTATATTGTAACCTGCCCATAACAATTATTTGAACAAAT